CTCACCTGTTTAAACCTCACCTGTCCAGAATTTCACCTGGCCAATCCTCACCTGTTCTGAGTCTCACCTGTCCAATCCTCACCTGGTCAAACCTCACCTGTCCCGAGTCTCACCTGTCCAATCCTCACCTGTTTAAACCTCACCTGTCCAGAATTTCACCTGGCCAATCCTCACCTGTTCTGAGTCTCACCTGTCCAATCCTCACCTGGTCAAACCTCACCTGTCCCGAGTCTCACCTGTCCAATCCTCACCTGTTTAAACCTCACCTGTCCAGAATTTCACCTGGCCAATCCTCACCTGTTCTGAGTCTCACCTGTCCAATCCTCACCTGGTCAAACCTCACCTGTCCCGAGTCTCACCTGTCCAATCCTCACCTGTTTAAACCTCACCTGTCCAGAATTTCACCTGGCCAATCCTCACCTGTTCTGAGTCTCACCTGTCCAATCCTCACCTGGTCAAACCTCACCTGTCCCGAGTCTCACCTGTCCAATCCTCACCTGTTTAAACCTCACCTGTCCAGAATTTCACCTGGCCAATCCTCACCTGTTCTGAGTCTCACCTGTCCAATCCTCACCTGGTCAAACCTCACCTGTCCCGAGTCTCACCTGTCCAATCCTCACCTGTTTAAACCTCACCTGTCCAGAATTTCACCTGGCCAATCCTCACCTGTTCTGAGTCTCACCTGTCCAATCCTCACCTGGTCAAACCTCACCTGTCCCGAGTCTCACCTGTCCAATCCTCACCTGTTTAAACCTCACCTGTCCAGAATTTCACCTGGCCAATCCTCACCTGTTCTGAGTCTCACCTGTCCAATCCTCACCTGGTCAAACCTCACCTGTCCCGAGTCTCACCTGTCCAATCCTCACCTGTTTAAACCTCACCTGTCCAGAATTTCACCTGGCCAATCCTCACCTGTTCTGAGTCTCACCTGTCCAATCCTCACCTGGTCAAACCTCACCTGTCCCGAGTCTCACCTGTCCAATCCTCACCTGTTTAAACCTCACCTGTCCAGAATTTCACCTGGCCAATCCTCACCTGTTCTGAGTCTCACCTGTCCAATCCTCACCTGGTCAAACCTCACCTGTCCAATCCTCACCTGTTCCGAGTCTCACCTGTCCAGTCCTCACATGGCCTGAACCTCACCTGTTCAATCCTCACCTGTTCTGAGCCTCACCTGTCCTGAACTTCACCTGTTTGAACCTCAGCTGTCCAATCCTCACCTGGCCCAAACTTCACCTGTCCAATCCTCACCTGGTCAAACCTCACCCTGCCCGAGACTCACCTGTTTAAACCTCACCTGTCCAATCCTCACCTGACCCAAACTTCACCTGGCCAAACCTCACCTGTCCTGAGCCTCACCTGGTCAAACCTCACCTGTCCTGAACTTCACCTGTTTGAACCTCACCTGTCCAAACCTCACCTGGCCTGCATCTCACCTGTCCCAAAACTCACCTGTCCCAAGTCTCACCTGTTCAATCCTCACCTGTCCAATCCTCACCTGTCCCGAGTCTCACCTGTTCAATCCTCACCTGTACCGAGCCTCACCTGTCCTGAACTTCACCTGTTTGAACCTCACCTGTCCAGAATTTCACCTGGCCCAAAGCTCACCTGGCTCAAACCTCACCTGTCTCAAACCTCACCTGTCCCACACCTGCCCAGCCCCACAGGTGTCCCACAGGTGTGACTCACGATGTCGGGGGTGGTGCCGATCTTCTTGGCCAGCTCTCCGCGCTCCATGGCGCTCAGGTACAGGAACCTGCCCAGCGTGAGCGATGGGTGGGACAGGTGAGGGACAGGTGGGGCAAGTGAGGGACAGGGAGACAGGTGGGGGACAGGTAAGACAGGTGTGAGATGGGACAGGTAAGTGACAGGTGAGGGACAGATGTGGGACAGGTGAGGGATGTATGAAAGGTGAGGGACAGGTGAGGGACAGGTGTGGGACACAGCTGGGACAGGCGAGAGGTGAGGGACAGGTGTGGGACACAGCTGGGACAGGTGAGAGGTGAGGGACAGGTGAGAGACCAGAGACAGGAGAGAGGGGTGAGGAACAGGGGACAGGTGAGACAGGTGTGAGGTGGGACAGGTGAGGGGCAGGGGGACAGGTGTGAGGCAATGCTAGGACAGGTGTGGGGCAGGTGATGGTTCCTAAATGCCTGGAGGTTGAGCCCTGGTACCCAGGTGTACCCAGGTGTATCCAGGGTGTACCCAGGTGTGTCCCAGGTGTACCCAGGTGTACCCCAGGTGTGCCCTCACCTGAAGGCGTCGCGGGTTGAGCCCCGCCAGGTGCGGCAGGGCGGAGCTCAGGTGTGTACAGGTGTACCCAGGTGTATCCAGGTGTATCCAACTGTACCCCAGCTGTACCCAGGTGTATCCCAGGTGTACCCAGGTGTATCCCAGCTGTACCCAGGTGTACCCAGCTGTTCCCAGCTGTTCCCCAGGTGTGCCCAGGTGTGCCCTCACCTGAAGGCGCGCAGGTTGAGCCCCGCCAGGTGCAGCAGGGAGGAGCTCAGGTGTGTACAGGTGTACCC